AGTGTACTAAACGAGATTTCATTGTAAATACGTTAAGTTAAAATATATACCCGTTTCCTGCGGTACTGATAAAATATTAATAACGCCGATATCTCTTCGGTAGACCAACTTTTATGGTTGCGCGTCCTCGTGACATTGCTCGCTCCGACAAAATCAGGATGAAGAGTAGGTCGGACCAGGTTAATGCCGAGACGTCTAGGTCAAGGAGTGGTCACTGGTCTCGATCGCTCGTTTATCTCGACAGTTGCGACCTACTTGGAACTACCGGTAATGTTAATGTCGTTATTCTCAGAGCGGTGACATTGGCCGTACGATGGTCCTCTCTCTTTGTCCTTCTCGTTTCTGGAAATAAAAAATAAATGTCAATTTTTTTGACGAGATAATCGTTCGCGATCGAACACGATCGATCGACTATTGAACGATAGAGATCGCGAAAGATCCACAAGTTAAAGACCGTTTTTAAAGCCAAGTGACCTCGTGGTCTTTCTCTTATCTGATGGTCAAGTAGACGGCAACTAGCTTTACTTCCGTTTGCGGATAAATGCGAGAAATAAATTGCGAACCGTACATTTGCATGGTCTCCTTTAACAAAATCAACCGCCTCGCGTGCTAAACGGACCACGTTGGCGCGTTCTTGGAAGCCGGCTCTACGGGCCGGCACGCTAATGCAGGCCCTGCAATTGCAAGAAAATATTCCTGTCTGTTACTACTAACCTTCCTGCTTTTTCTAGGAATGCATATATCTAACTCGTGATAAACTTCCGCGCTACGATAAGAGTACATGCGCGATGTATATATGCATCGTGAGTTTGTCGGTTGTAAAAGATGAATACATTAGAAAATAGAATAAAAAGAATTTATTTTTTTGAAATTAAATATAAGAAAAAAGAAATTTTAATATTTTATTAAAATTATGAATTCAATACCTGTTGTTTTTTTTACGTAGAGATTAAGAACTTGCAACTTATAAGATTAATTTCCACCAACTGTTTTTATTACGTCTATTTTTTTGCTGCAAATACACACATGCACGAAGTTTCACACGAAATGAAAGCTAACGTCGATCTAGCGATTGCGCGACGTTTACATGCGGCCAAGGGTAAAAGAGCGAGTGTAAAAGGGGGATGGTAGTCGCAATGCAACGATATGGCTCGTCAAGATTGCCAGTAACGATTAGACACAGGGTCGTAATGTGGTGGCACGTTTAACGTCCACCATACGGTGTTATTACTGCTTATTATTTGTCTATCGTCCGGTAGACGGTGCACTCGCATCGGATATGACAATGACAGGGGGGTGGCATTCGATAGCATTGTTTACACTGGGGAACGCTGCGTGACACTAACGCAGCAATGAAGAACTTTAATTATCATTATTATTGCAAAAACATTCTCTCCTATCGATTAGAGGATCCGATCTATCGTGCAATTAAATTAGACACTTGGGTTAAATATCGAGCGAAGATGCATTCTATATGTCTTTCGAATGTTTTTTTAAAATTACTACTAATTGTTAGTTCTCTCGTTTAAATGTATAAATCGAACGAGTAGAAGATAAGACGCGACGCAATTCTCTAAAACCCCGACTTTACAGCAACGGAAATTACATAACGTACGTAACGATGACTCAGGAGACGTCGTCGGAGCAGAAATCGAAGCAGGAGAATTTCTTCCCGTGACGCAGCTGATTTTACCAACAGGCTGTACGAGATCGTCGCCCCCTCCTTCGCCATTGCATTAGAATGCTCGCTCGTAGATTAAACAACGCTAATGATCCGTATCGCGATCCCGTTAGGACTGACTCGCCTCCTCCGTCGTCTTCTGCTTCCGCTTCACGCGTGTAGCCGGGAGAATCTTTGCCACAGGAAAGCCTCATACATCGTTTTACAGCTTGTTCCGTTGATAAACAACGAATTTGTCTTGTTTTATATTTTATTTGAGGGAAATTTCACTCTTTTTTATCAATTAAGGGTCCAGTTTATTTTAGGGAGAATTAAAACAATCGATTTTTTTACGTTTTTTGAAAGTATAATGTCTGAAGAATGTCTTTCTAATTTTTTTTTGAAAAATTCACAAAATTGACGAAATTATAAAACTTTGAATAGGATAGCCCGCGGATCTTTAAATAGATCTTCAAAATTTTAAACGCGTTTTTGGGAGATACTGAGTCTAAATAGAATTTAATAAATTAATAATTAATATTTTTCTGATTTTGAAGAAATGAATAAATTTCAGTAAAATCGGTATATTTAATTTTTAAATGACACTACTTTGTCATTTTTCAATTCTTTCTAATAAATAAAATTAGGTTCAGTATCTAATAAATATTTTACAAAATAAAACTAGAGTTTGGAAAATCTCTGAGAAAATAGCATTTGAAATCTATTTAAACCACACAAGAGTTCAAGGAAAATGTTTAAAAACTAAAACAAATCTGATCTAAAAGATCTGAAACAGATCAGAATATTTTTGAAGACTCTGATATTTGATTTTACCAGAAAGAAAATACAAAAGCTACAAGATGTATTTATAGTTATATGTAAGATATAATAGAATTTCGACGAAAATAAATCACACATATTTGCAAAGTAACATGACGGATTTGTTATTAGGATAAGACGCGGAACGGGAATAGCTTAGTAGTCGCTAACGACTAATTATGCACCTAATTGCGCGACGCATTAAAACGCTCGGAGGAAAAAAAAGAGTAATGATAATAATAATAATGCAATTACGAATTACCCGGAGAAAGCAATTACGTCCGGCACAATTACAGCGACGCGCTCGTTACGACGTTAACAACCGATGTTGTAACACGATAGATTACCGCGCGAATGGAAAATGTCTTGGAACTTATCAGACCTTTCCGACCGCGCGGTCTTGCGATTAATTACAAATAATTAGCGAATAATTTCGCGGTGAACGAGATAACGGTACAAGGGCATACGCGCCCCGTATCGACCATTGTTTGTGCGTGTAAACCCAGACGCATTGTTGCGGTGCATCCTGCCGACTAGTCGATCGCGTTGCCTTCTCCCTCCATGACTGATGCATCGATCCATCTCTTCAAATGAAGAAGAAGACGCTGCGCGTTTTCGCTATCAGCGAAATATCGCGCGATTTGTATACATGTATATACAGGGTGTTCCCAAACGTGTGCGAAAATTTCTGAGGAAAATTTCATATATACCGATGCCCTATAGTTTTCGAGTTACAGAGTATTTAAGCTTTAAAAAATATAGATAGATTTCAAAAAATATATTCTGACGAAAACTAAATTAAATAAAATTATAAGATTTGTTGTGGAAATGACCACCTCCAGCCATAATACATAAATCTATTCTTCTTTTCATTGATTGGTGAATACGTTTAAAAATAGATATATTACGGATTGTTTCGAGAGTTTCAAAAATTTAAGATGCTCGCAGAGAAAAGAATCCAGCGGATTTAATTCTGGGAATCGAGGGGACCAAGATTAAAGTCTTGCTTATTAAAACTTTAACTCTTTAATATCCTGGATTTTAAAAACCATGCCGTTTAAGACATTGGTGTATATGAAATTTTCTTCAAGAAATTACTTCAGGAAGTATCCTTCGATTTTTTTCGCACATGTTTAGGAACACTCTGTATAATGTGTTTACCGCTATTTAAACCGTATTTACTACCGCAGCAAACTCGCTTTTAGCGAATGATTCACGTCGCGGGAAAGTTTGCCAGTATCATGTCCGAGATGCATCCTGTTCTTCTCGCGAGTCGTAGTACGTAGCTCTTGGCTCTTATTGTTTCTTCTTGTTGGATCGCGCCGATAATACTTCGTGATTCGCACGCTCTGACGACGGTGTGATGTCGCGGTATTCCCGGCGCCGCGGCGGTAATGACCGCGCGTTGTAATTGTTTTAAATGCCAACGAGGCGTTTACGCGAAAGTGCTATGTGTGCGTGAAATTAGAGGAAGTATGTAACCTTTTTAGTTGAGTCTTACTCTTAGCGGAGATGAGAAGATCAAACTTTGCGAATGCTAATTAATTTAATCTTATACTATAATTGATTAAATTATTATTATACAATGATTAACAATAAACTTGATAATAAATCTTGTAAAATACATATGTATTTGTTCTAGAACTGTCTTGTTTTTAATTACGTTATATTTTTTCAATGTAACGAGATTACATTTTTCCCTGTTTGAATTTACGATAGAATCTTTTACAAGTTGACTGTCTAAGAATATGTTTCACGAATATTCACGAGCAAAAGTTTTTTGATATTACGCCAATTCGCTTTACACTATAACAACATTAAGAATCATGGGGAAGAGGGAAAAGGAGGGTGACAATTGTTCTTGATGGCTTTAATTATTTTAAGTATCTTTTCGCGTAGAAGTTAGATTTGTGTTCATGGCATACTTGCAGACATTTAAACGTATTTAGAACAGTCGTGAGTTTTTCTCCATTGAATTATTCATATTCCTCTGCAGGATACTTTGTATATATCAAGCTTGCCTCGTTTCTGTTAGAACACTTTAGTTTTCCTAATGAAACTTCTGATTTCGTTTCACTTTTGATATATATCATTTGTATGTTTTATGATACTTATTATTTTACGATACTCTGTTTCATGAGCGGAACTAGAAACGGATTTAATATATCATGGGGAGAAGGAAAACAGCATATTTGTGTTAAACTCATTCGCTGTAACATCGTTATTTTTCTCTAATGTTGGCATTGCGATTAATAATTCATGTGTCATAATTATTATTTTGATTGAAAGAAAAAGCGTTACTAATTAACAGAAGGTTTCATGTTACACTTTCGATATTATATGCGATGATTGCGAAACTGTTTTGATTATTCAAACAGTATATGACTCACATGGTAATATTTTTTAACCGTACTCATTTATAAATATATTATCTGTCGTTATTAGCAAAGAAAAAAAAATACTATTCAAAGCCATGATGCAATTTAACAAGTCTTTTTGCGTATACAGGTATCTCGAGGAAATGGGACTGGTAGAACGAGAAGCCGAGATGCAAGAATTGAACGCTCCCAGACCCGGAAGGTCGAGAGATCTCTTTGGAGTTCAATTAGAGGTAAGATTCACACGAGCAATTAACTCATTCAGCCGAAACGTATACAAAAGATTATATAAATTTGTGCGATCAAATTAATTCCTACGTTCGTTAACGCGGCGAGGCCTTCAAGATCGGAATAAGATCGATAAATAGGAGCGAGCGTAACTTAATACGCGATCTCCGATATCCTTGACGAAGGCGAGGATACATACGATCCGGAATTGGTTGTCCATTCACCCGACAGCACGCTGGTTGACTTCAATGGTCACTTTTGCCCGCGATCGTAGGCCAGTGAGAGGCCCGACCCAGAAAACCCATGTCGGTTCTGATACAACGGCCTGCCATCTGAAACAGAAACAACCAAGAAAAGTTTGTTCGCTGCACTCTCCTCCCTGTCACGGCATTCAATCTGACAATTGCATCTTTCTCCGCGCCTCTCGGATCGATGGATCGTGTATAAGATACTAGTAAATTCAGATGTTATCAATATCTGCTTTGGAAAATTATGTTTTCCAATCATGTTTTCCCATCTGTCATCTATCTCTGTTTTCTATCAGTTTTTTATTTGACTAGACTAAATTATTGAATAATTATTCGCTAAAGAGAAATCAATGATTCAGAAATATATATGTAAATATGTATCAAGCGACGCGATAGCATCGCTATATTATATTATAGAGGAAAGAGAAAGAAAATATTAAATGCAGAGAATGAACAGAAAGAAAGAAATAATATTACAAGACTTTTTAAAAGTAAAATTGCAGTAATGATAAAAAATTTCGTTGTAATAAGGAAATTGCATTCGAAAATTGATACAAGGGTTGGAAACGTTGCACGCATAGAGGATTATATAGGAGACAGAAATGGAAAGGCGGAACTATAATTATGTAGTAATTAATATACGGAGCTGAACGATCATAAACGAATGACGTAATAACTACAGGTTAGAGACAGTCATGCAACGAAATTTCGCAATTTATCGAACAATCGTACTTGCATTGGCGCGGCCAGTGTTTTAGCGTAATTTGATGACATCCGAAAGTGTAATTTTTAATGTTTTATAGATATTATCACTAAACAATTTAATGATTATTAGCTTAATTGATCGATACGCTTACAGCAAATTTATATGATTCAAAAAGTGCAGAGAGCAAACTTAGAATAATCTCTTTTTCGACGGCATTGAACGCTGTTGAACCTTCATTACATTTCTCACAATTTACACATAGTCGATACTTGTTCGACAGTTCTCGGTGCACGCTGTCAACTTTGCGAAATGACATTTACTCAGAATATCGCTCCATCAAGAGGAAAAAAAGCGGACTCATTTCGCAAGTTTTGCGCACGTGTGTATCACAACCCGGTTACGGTCCCGTGAATCCAGGATCGTTTTCACTTTTGCGTTAATCGTGAAGAATTATGTATTATAATCGTCGTAAAATCGGAGTTATTCAAAGAACGAGCGTGTTGTTTAATTTTTATTTTTTTTTTGTTAAATTTGAAGATTTATTTTTATCGTTAGAAGATAGATTTTTTTCTGATTCTTTCGCAAATTCGATTAGCTGACAAATCAAAGTGCACTCGTGCAAATTATCTCGTATTATATGGACATATGTGTTGTATTGCACATATATTGTTTCCATAACGATGTAACAGTATGCTACACGAAGTACATATAATGGAATGAATCATTCATGTGATTGTATGAGAGATATTAAACATCATATTCATATTGCACTCTGTTTTCTCAATTAGACACTATCCAAGCAGCTTGATTTCGGTGGCACTCATAATAAAAAGAGTGTTTAATGCGTTAATAATCCGATTATAGAGAAAAAGAAGAAGGCAAATTTTTATCAATCAGATTATGCAATTATGAATAGACTTTGTCAAGATATCTTTATGATTTCATAATTTTGTATATTACGAATAATTCCCTACAATAAAGTCAAGAAGTTATGCACGAAGCTTTGAGACAATTTAAACTAGCACAGCTGATCACGAAACAGCGTGACGTATGGATGAGTTATAATAACGGTTCTCGAGATAAAAAAAAAGAAGGCAAAGAGCGCGAGTAAGCGATTAGCATAGATATTTACAGACTTATATGCGAACGTGCACGAGCATTTAGATTAGCCGAGATGACGTGTTTCAATTACGTGTCTTTTTCCGTTTTAGACGTACAATTGGCAACGTTAAATATTAAATGTTGTTGTATGCCTCGTTGAAGCTGGCGGTTTCATGCGCGCAAAACACATTCGCTTAAAAGCGATCAAGAGATTTCGTTCTCTTTGTAGCTCTTCTTTGCTAGATTTCTCCACAGACTTGCTGGTTAATTTGCTGCATCGCGGATAATATTATCCGTTTCGATCGCAGCAATTCCGGCATAACAGAATTGCGGTTGAAAGGATCGTTGAGCTAATGGAAAGCGAAATTAAGGATTGTGCTTTGCCGCTGAATGAATTGACGCGAATAGCCGATTGCTTATTTCAAATGAATCAATTATTTTGAAAACGATACGAGACGTAATTGAATTTTATTTCTCGATATTTTCTTTGAGAAAATAAAAATTATTAATTATTGATGCGCAGAGTTATACATATATAATTGATGTTGTCTTAAAAAAAAAGGAACGCGCTAATTACAATGAGATATCTTCCTTAGCATCTTAAAATTAGAATTCCGCGTGTCGGTGGCCTAAGCATGCTTATATATACATAACGACGTAGGGTTATTATTTGAAAGCAAAACCGCGAAAAATCCTTGAAGTAATTACGAAATTACGCGGTTGCGTGCTGGGATTTAGTAATTAAAAAAAGCGAAGCTTTCAAATGTCTACAGAGAGCTTATGTCTCGTTATGCCAGTTTGTGTGTGTGTGTGTGTGTGTGCAGAGATTTTAGTGTAATATACGGTCTCTATAATACAGTTACGTAAGTAATTTTGCGTACACTGACAATATGTTGTGGCTAAATATCGTCGTAAACATATATACGTGCGCGCGTGTGCAAAGATTTTATGCAATTCCCGTGCTACCAGCATTTTATGGATCCCACCAAGATATTGCTCGCTCGAGTGTAGTGATAAAATATCGATAACAATTTAATTATGCGTAATTGAGCGGTTATGCATAGAGTTCAATTTAACATGGAAGATTTACCCAGTCACGATAAAAGCGCGATCATTTTATTTCCTTAATCTCTCAAGTAGCTTGGCAAGGATGCGCGGTTACGATAGACGGGATAATAACTCGGTGCCTTCATAATCAGCATCGTATCGCAGCGATCTTTAATATCCAGAGTCAGTGTACCAAGAAGTTGCGCAATCTTTTATTTCGACAGACGGCCAAGTCCATTTCATATCCGTTTTACGATGCAACGCATCTGTCAGCGTTATTTGTCATAAAGTGGAGAATTTAATAGAATTATAGTTCATACTTTAATATATATGTAGAAGTATAGGATACACTGGATGAACGATAATATAAGGACAATTCTTATCGAATTTTAACCTTTTTGGTGTAATATAATCACAGAAAAACGACTAAGGCTTGTTAAGAAAATATGTAATAAATAAGTTGTAATTATACATTTTTTGAAAGCAACAAAAAATGCAGATTTTAGTATTTTTTTCAAGATAGATCGAAACTTCGTCGAAAAGTTTGCCCTGACCAAGTCTGTTTCGACACTTATGTGCCATCTCGATTCCAGTTGACTTATCGCTGAAGTTTGCTTTCTCACACTTGTATGATAGTCTAGACTGCAAGCATTGCACTTTGGCGACGGTCACGTTCTCTCGCACGTTCCGGTTTCAGAAGCGTTCGGAAACATCCGGTGATCGCGTGAATATAATCGACACGCTGCGCAGCCGCGATTTCCGACTGAAAGGTTCTCGAGTCGGAGATGTCTGGTTTTCTCTCGAAGAATTTTACGGGCTGAAACAAAGCCTCGTGACTCTTCAAGTTTCTTCTCTCAAGAACTTCTAGAGACATTCAATTGAACAACTGAAAGTGGCGAGACGCACTTTGAAGTGGAGCAAACGCATCTATTTGCGTGCAACTTGCTGAAGTAGATTCTCCGCATTATAACAAGCACGTAGAAGGAGCGAAATTTCCACTGTAAAGAAATCTTCTTCGTATTCTCCGAGCCAACATCTAAATTGGCATACGCGTGGAATTCGAAATATCTGCAAACTCGATTTGAGGTTTTTACGACGCAACGAGATTTTACTGTACATCATGTAGAGATAGTCCTCGGTTTCCTCAATCTATTTTTAAAATCAACATACTTAGCGAACTACTATAGTACATAAAAAGTTTCACGTAACTTATTATTCGTTACAATTCGCTAAGCAAAAAGCTGTATCTCCCGCGAAAGAAATACGGAGAAGCCAGTTCTTTTTTTATACAAATTCTATTTACAAAAACATTATATGTGCACAAATTGGAAATTATTTTTGTAATGATACATAATGGTGCATACACGTGATGTGTTAATTTCCGTTTTGTTTTACATCATATGTTGAACAGCAGGATGTAAGTGAAATATAAGCTCGCTTGGGAAAATTATAATATTATCGCGTACTTTATATTTCTTTTATTCATCGCTGAACGTTACGCCGTCTCGAGAGATGCGCAGGATAAGATAAATTCTAAATTATTATTGTACGCAAAGATGCACGTCGTGATGTACGTAGAAATAGTGTTTGGATCGAACTCATTTATACTCCGCTTGGGATATAATTCAAATTCCATCTTGGAGCACAAATATTTAACATGTCAATGCGATCATAAAATGTAGGATGCTTCTAATTCTTTTGCGGCTATTAGTATCCACATATAGATAGTTTGAAAAAATAGTATATAACTGTCTTCTGTCTCGATTATATTAAAACGTGAATATATGTTAAAAAAAAAAATGGACGATAAACAAATACGTATGGAGTAAGCAGAATAAAAGTATAAAAGAATAAATATATAAATGAAAATATGTGTATATATCTGTATAAAAGAGAGAAAAAGAGAAAGAGAAGACACATAATATATTTAAATAAAGTTATATAATAGTTATATATAATAATTCTCTCTATATAAAAAAATTAAAATTTATTATATATAGCATTTGATGATTAATTAATTTTTCGGATTGCCACAGGGACAATAGATAAATAATCTTATATTGAAACTGTTCGACTTTTTCTATTTTCTTATATTATTTTTTTAAATACTTATAATCTCTTATTTTGATTATCCTATATTTACTGTCAAGTTTCTAATTTCACGAAAAAAGAAACGTATATATAAAAGAATAAAAAAACAAAAATACATAGCGTAGAAAAGAAAAAGGAAAAGGAATGTAGGACGCGTCTTGGAAATATATCTCTTGTGATTTTGCCCTAATCTTCATGGACAACTGGTTAATGATGGTGCGCCGATTAAAAAGAACTGCACGACACGCATTCGCGAACGCATCTCGCAAGCTTCTATCTCTTATCAAATTCGCACACATACATATAAAACCTGACAATAATAACTCATACACAATCGCGTAAAAATGGAGAAGTTTACAAGTGCGCTCGCAATTATAGAACGCATAATTTCGCACGCACGAAATCCTCCGCAGAGATCAGCGAGTTTAGACGAGTCGTTATGTATGCGGGTATATCTCCCTACTTGCGTGCGTATACGCACGTGCAACACGCACATCGTGAGTGTCCGTGTGTGGGCGCAGCAACGACGATTTACGTGTGCACGTGCGTGCGTATCTGCACGCGTCGTTGCGTATGAGAAGAGATTCGTTACAAGCGTAACCGAATTCATTACAAGTGTAAATGCCAACATACGAGAAGAGTATCATTTTTCGAAGCGTTTAAAAATGAGAATATGCCTCACATTCACTTTTTTTTATTCGAAATAAATGCTAACTTTTTTTTATTCAAAAATTAATGCTAACATTTTTTAATAGAAAATTTAAAAAAGAAAGAGCTACACAAGTAAAGATTTCAAAATCTAATACACAGTAACTATTGTTTCTTTTTTTTATAAAAGAATGCATAAATTTTTACTATACTATCCTATTTTTCATCTTTGTCTAAGATTATTAATAATTTTGTTCTTTAAACTTATAGACACAAAAAACGATTATTATGATTATTCGATTATTTGTTTTGAATAGATAAGAAAATATAAAAGAGAGATAAGAGAATTGGAGTCCGATGGGCTCGGTCGGTAGCTGATAGAGAAAACAGAAGATCTGAATACCAACATACGATTACTGAAGGAAGGACTGTATCGCCATGAGTTGATACAGTCTTACTCTGCAACATTCTCTCTTTTATCAAACGCGTTCTCGGACGATAAAAGTAACAGTTTCTTCCTTTGCAACTGGCAACGGCGGGAAGTTATCGAGCAATTGAGAAATGCGTAAAAAGTTTTCTCTTTTGCAGAGAAAAAGTGTATTAATCACAGCACAGAAACTTTAATAAAATCAATGTTAAAAGATATCCTGTTTCCTATAATTTTATGGCAAATAGCTTTTTGGAAAATTATTTTTTATATTTTTTATCTCTTGCGCGATAAAATGATTTTGTTATTAATTAGCTATTATTGCTAAATACATGAATTGGTAAAATACGAGTTAGATAAAGTTAATCTTTTTAGGAGAGCTATCATATTTTTTTTTGTCACTATTTTAAAGTTTGGTATTTAGATAATACTTAGATTAATAATATATATGAATATGATAATATTAATAATACAGTCAGTAATATATTAATAATACGTGATATATAAAATATTTCTTACTTATCGAAATGCTGTTTCAGGTTACTTCATTACTCTTGGAGGGCGAGCGCCGCAAATTGGCAGTCTTGCAAAGGGAATTGCAAGTAGCCCTCGAGGAAGGTGGAAGCGTAAAGGTGAAGGAAAAGCAGCGACAGGAATTACTTCATGCTATATCGTAAGTTTTCTTTTAAAAATCTTTTAGTAATATAAATAACTAAAGAAAAAAATCTCATAAAGGTAAACAAATATTTGACGTCGCGATGCTACCGCGTCACTTGATAGATATTGCCGACATGTTTTAAAAACGAAAGTGTTCCTTGAAAATCGGCATATGAGAAATTTCTTACTTTCTAATTTAGAATGTATTCTGTTATTTTATATACATGTCCCTTTTACATAATTCAATCTCTTTTTGAACAGTTTTAGCAAAGATTGCTTTCTTATTTGTAAGCAATATTCTTTTTTTAAAATTATTTCACGTAAATACCTTTCTCTCTACAAAGAGTTTTTGTATACATTATATATATATGCTAAGATAAATAATTTTTTATGTTGAGAGGAAGCTTTTCCGAATAATAGATTCACTAAGAGGCAGGTAAAACGCGAACTAAACGCGAACTTTATGTTAGAACCGACTCCCGTGGGGGCTTAACTTCTAAAAGATTTAACGCGGGCGGTGTCGCGTGACGGAGTAACAATTTTATCGCAGCACTTTTACACTTCCATCAGAAAATGTTTCATCGCGTTACCCTTAGCATACTCCGCATAATGTTCAAGCGAACATAACGACCGAAATTACTTGCTAACGAAGCTTAACTCATTAATACTAAGGTTTAAACTAACTTTTCAGTTTACGGTATACAGAATTACAAAGTGCTCGGTAACTTTTACATTATCGTATCGTCGCCCGCGTAAAGTTCAATTTCACGATTCCGCCATAAATAGTTCGCATTGACTCCGTAATGAATCGACTCGGAAGCGGAACCATGACGTAGTTCCCAGAGGCGCTACGCGCCCGCTTTACTTTATTTTGCAAATGCTCTTTCGGATTATTCTCGCCCTTTTGCGTTATATAAAGGAAGAGAGAGAGAGAGAGAGAGAGAGAGAGAGAAAGAGAGACGTTAGAGAGCAACGTCCTGAGAAAGGGTACAGGTCAGCCAGGGATGCCAGACTCCTTTATTTCACGCGTACTAACGGCCAAGTTGTTTGCACAGCTACCGTCTCCTCGCGTTTGCGGTGTCCAACGTCGTGTTTGCACAAGGCAGCCCTCTTCGTAGCCGGCTCCTTGATTATGCAGCACTGATAAATTTATGAGACAGGATATCTGTGGAAATTTTGTCAACCTTATCTCTTCGAATGTGCATTTAACGAGATCGTTCCGGAAGCTCCGTACAACTTAAAGTCCTTTTCGCGAGATTGACATCTGTCTTTAGCTTGTATTGGTCAAATTTTGCGAGATGAATTATTTACAAGATTTGCCGCATATTCGGATATAACCAAGTATAACAGAATTATGTGATAAAAGTATAATAAATGCAAAATTTGGGATCGATAAAAGTGCCTCCTACATATTCATTACTTCGCGACTATTGTACGGTGATATATCCTACCATGGCTGAGGCAAGAGATAGAAATTGCGTGAAAGAAAAAGACCTCGGGTCGTGGAACCTAGATACTTTGCGGCGGAAATCGAATGCGTAACCTTTGCTTAAATCGATTCGACGGTGGCGCGGAAATTCTTTTGCAGAGAAAGCCTAAAGAAAAAAAAAAAAATAAAATAAAGAAAAAAGGTGAGTCTCGATAACGCTTATGTAAATTTACTCGATAAAATATGTATAATGTGTTAGCATATTATGTGAGATATTAAATTTAAAATTATATTAGCAATAAATTTTTGTGCTTGCGATATGATAAAGTCATCGAAATAAATCATATATTACAGTCCACGTACTGTTTGCCATCAAATCCCTAAACCATCTCATTTCTCTGCAAAAAGGAATCTATATTTAGATCTATATTTGAAGTAATATGATAATATCTATATTTGAAGCTGAATTTTTCTTCACTAACGAGAGAGAGAGAGAGAGAGAGAGAGAGAGAGAGAGAGAAATAAAATAAAATAATTAAATTATATATATTGTTCAACAACTTTTTAAAAATATTAATAAATTGTTATTTCAATATTGAATATTAATAAAAGTAATTGAGAATTTTATATATTAGAAAAAGTATTAAAAATTTGTAATATTCGCATCTGTAATATTTACTGTGAAAATTTGAAAAATAATATTCTAAATAAATAATTTTTTAAAACTCACGATACAGCCTTGAAATATTGAGTAATATGATGGATATCGATATTGGCCAATATTTTATACTCGTAAATTTTTGATATTTTGCATTTTAAATCTCAGAATCCTTTAAAAATATAAAATATTATTTAATTTTGTTAATATCTCTATGTTTCTCTCGAGAGGAGCATTTCCTATACAGTACGTTGTTAGCAAAGTCTTTGTAAGGCAAGATTAGCATGTTATCGTCGTCGCTCGACGTGTTTGAGCGTCCTGCAACCGCTTTCAAAATCAGCTTAATCGACAAAAAAGCCCGTACGATACCTTGCCCGTGCAATTAATTCCCTTCCGAACTTTACTGCACCGTCAAGTTCCGGAGAATTTCCGGAATAGACGGAGAACTCCGCTCGCTCTTATACTCGTTGGTCTTATGCCTGCGAGTGCACGCGAGTGCACAGGACCGTCGTGTGAAAAAGAAGGCGAATGTGAGAGCCCTAATTTATAAGATTGTTTGCTTTCCCGTAATTGCCAAAGTTGCTCGCGCGAGAAACTTTTTCAGTTTGTAAATCACCGGCTGAGAGTCCCTCGGAAAATGAGCCAGTGGGCCGTGAGAATGCCATCTTCTTCTCGTTATGGCGGCTCAGGCTCCTAGCCAAGGGATTGCAAGGCGATAGCCAAACTGTTCGTACGACCTCTTACGATTTCGTACTTTTGCACGAAAATGGTACTTGAAGAGTGACGAATTCTTCTGCAAAAGTTTAAATTCTCTCTACGAAAATGCATTGTTATTTATGTCATGTTCGATTTACGATAATTACAGTATATTTATGCTTCAGCTATTGGTACCTTAATATCATATATTATAATGCATTTAATTTAGCCGCATAGAGGAAGCTCGTGTTTTGCATTCGTTTTTATGAGACGCTTTTAAAAATTAGCATTTTCTTTTCTGCAGAAAAATTCAAGGACAACACGAGCAACTCGACAAGGAGTACAGAATCCACGCTGCCGGTGTTCTCCTATGCAACTCAAGGGGCTCCGGAAAGGTAAGGGTAGCGGACGTTATTATTATTATTTTTTTTTACCTTTTTACTTGCGATTCTCAGAAGACAAATGATCTTCTCTACTATTGTGCGACAAATTATGGTCTCTTACGAAACTCGAGCGCTATCGTTCGTTGACATTTGATGCCCGAGTTTTCTCTATTGCTCCTTGAATCGGGTCGACCGTTCCTTCGAGATAACGATGTCGTACTAATCGACACTCTCATCAAAGTACTTTCATAAATGTTCTACTTCCGTCCAATTTTCGCGGATCGGATAACGCAGGATATCTCCGACTAATTACGCTTCCGTTTAATGACAGACCGCCATCATTTAAACGAATAAGTAATGAGGTACTTCTCTATCAAAGCACGATATTTAACTAGAGAGTCACGTAAAAATTGTGGCGTTTAAATCATTAACATAAATGATGTTATATATATAACTCATATATATACATATAACTCTATATTTTTTTTTTATTTATAAGATTGATCCTGAACAAGATATTTGCTCTACATTTTATCTTTAGCAATTAAGCATATTTACGTATAACATGCATAAATATTTTCAACGTTAGCATGATTTTTTCTCTGTTTTTAAAACTGTTGAACTCATTAAAAAAAAAAAAAAATATTTTTATTAGTATGTTACATGCAGTATCGCATCATAAATATAAACTGAAGTAGATTGGATATTCTTCTAATATCAAAAATTAAACGAATATTGAGAGATGTGGCTTATTTCCGTATTCATTTTTTACAGCTTATGAATTATTCCGATTAATTCAAAAAATTTCAGATTCCTTGCGTTATTACATTGAAGGGAGAATCAACGTTCTTTTCCTCGCAAAAGTTATTAATATGAAAAAAAGAGAATTAGAGAGCGAACTCTTTTTTTTTGAAATCCCATTGGTCCCTATCTCTTTATTGCCACGCTTGATATCTCTAACAATCACTTCGCTTCCAGGAACTCTCAGGAAGCTTTAGTAAGCTCCGGTAAGCTGTTATTAGACTCAGTACATAATAGATTGTGCCTTCCTTCGTTCCACTTTGCATCGTCGGACTCTCAAACGACACTCGCGCGCGTGTCACGCTCAATTCTTATCATTAAATAATCTTAATGCAAGAAATTTATAAGGGGCCAATATACAAAGCTCTTTTCTTACTTATTCGTGCCAATAATTAAGTTTCGCAAAGCATTAACATAGTTTCTGATTATGAATTCTCCTCACCGTTATAATTACGTTCTTTCTTTGAAAGTGAGCTCCGCGGGAGCTGTAACGCTAACGACATCGTGGGAATATAATGAATGATAATGTAACGGTATCTAATTATTATGGATTTTTTTATAGAAGTGGATGCTATTACAACACATTTCATTTTTCAAATTATTAATCATAATATGCTCTATAATCATATATGCTCTACGTTATATAGAATAATAATTTTTCATAATTATTAATTAATTATACCTTTCTTATCTTAAGCAAAAATCTTTTTTTAAAATTGTTACAACAAACTATGATTCCAGGGTACTATTATTTCTGTGTGTGTGTGTGTGTGTTTTTAGTAAAATTTTATGGATTTAATAGTTTTGAATAATACAATGGTAAATAATTTTAAATTTAATTACTAATATATCGTATAGCATTTCGATATGTTGGATGTAGATAATTTCTATTTTTGCTATCTCGAATCGCGTAGTTATATGTACATATTTCGAATAGATAGAAATGGGGTTCTTTTACTGAGCACGCTGTAGACTAACACTCTTCGCAAGGGAGTGTTTATTTTTAATTTTTTTACCAAAAGCCTTTAAGTTTTCTTCTTCTTCTCCAATATTTTTCTTTATATAAAATATACATTCACGATTTTTTTTCTCCCATTTTTGATATATATGTTCGGATAAAATGTAAAGCTAAAAAATAAAGATACGTATTTTTTGAAGTTAGCCCGATACAAACACAATTCTGGTCGATTTTATAAAAATATTTTATTTATAAAATTTTTATGATATTTACAATACTTATACATTTATTCATTTTTTAAATATTTTTTGCAATTTTATGTTTGATTTTAAATACTGACGAGTTTTAATGTTTTCGAAAAAAAGCACGAGTAAAATTTAAAAAAATATATCTTTGTTTCAAGCCTCAAATCAAGATTTTTTTCAGTCAATATTTTCTTTATTCGATTATAATAAAATATATTGATGCAATTTTGAGACAAGATTTTTGATTCCTAATTTTGTAACAAAAGCATATATATATATGTATCTTTTATTTTGAGTTATAATATGTCTGCGAATGCAAGCCATAATATTTAAAAAATAAAGTTGTAAGCGTTTTTTAGTAAAAAAATTATGCAATATATATTGAAAGAATTTGATTAAATATAATTCATATAAACAGTTATTAAATAATGTAATACTGCTAACAAATATGATATGCATAAACGTCATCTGTAAAATATATAAAAGCATAAAATTCATGAGCGGTTTATTCGTCAGTAATAAACTTCGTATAACAGGCGATATTTTGTCGAGCTTAAAGGCTATGTGAATGCATCGTCTAAGAAGTGAGTGTGAGTTTTCCAGGAAAATCAGTAAGATAGACGACCCGCGCTTTGACGTTATACAACGACGCTTCGGCCGTAATATATTCAATTTCTATTCCTTCCTGCACCCAAGTTCGTCTTACCTTTTAGTAAACGAAGCCTTGGTTATCATCGCGCTATAAATCCATTTACCGTCAAACTTTTTAGCCTGTTAATATCAGATACTGATTCACTGCAAAATGGCATGCAAATTGAATTGACATTTCTTATTTATGTATAGCGTTTTGTGTGCGTTTGGGTGTATGTATTTGCGCGTGTGTGTAGTTTTATAAAAATGATAAAACTTTAAATACATATAATCCCGATGATACAAATAAAGCATAATTATTCTCAACTTGAATAAAGATAAATAATATCTGATCTTTCATTCTTAGACTTTTTAATAAAAAATCAATGTGATACGTGAATTATATAACGACCGATCCTATCGAGTTTCTTGTTACTGAAGGGAAGCGTAACGTATAGTCCAAAAGAGCATTTAACTTTCAAGAACATTGGCGCGGAGCAAGATAAACCCCTTGGGCGCTTCATCGCTGAATCTGTCGTGTAATAGATTCAATTTCTTTGGTCACCACTTCTCCTCTCGTTCTCCTTACCTCTCCACCTCTTTTTCTTCGAGTTCGGTCTGTGAGCACCATCTTCGGTAAATGAAAGTTTGGTCGGATTATCGCGCTTTCGCAAGAACAAAATATAGCCGTGCCGGGTACCATTGCGAACCTTTCGAAACGTTCGAGGGTCGTCGATTCTATCTCGAGCTTAGCATCTTCGAGCTGCGAGAGAAACTAAAGCTCCCAGGAGCTGCAGACTCTGAATCAGCGTACGGTAGGACAGCCAAGGATGTTATAGCGTCGTATGGCATCGAACGATGAGGTCGTATCTAGGTCATCGTAGTTTGAAGTAGGCAATGGAGTTCTGTATTGAAGTAGACAGTAAAGAATAAGGATTCGCTCTGAAAACGGAAAGTACACGCCAAGAAGATGCAAAGGGCGATGGAAAAAGGGTGAGAGAAGACACACATCGAAGAAATGTGTGCATTGTGATGGAACGAGCGAAGCGAGCGTGTCGAGCAGCCAAAAGAAAGGAAACTTCGTGAAAAATAAAAATAATAAAAAAAGAAATAATGCAAAACGGTCGATGCGAATGGAAACGCAACCAAGTGCATTATGCGGCAGGGAAGCTACGTAAAAGCTAGACGGCGTTCGAAGAAAGTCGAAAGAGAGAGTGATGTAATGGAAAACTGAACAGGTAAATCGAGATGTAAAATACAAGCCACGGCAACAAAAATAAATTGGTCGCGCGATCAAACTGAATAACGACGCTTACCAGCATAAGCATGTCACATTCTTCCTCGCGTCTCCTTCTTTCTTTCGATTTCCTTCCGGTTGTTCTATCTTATTCTATTCACGTTCGATGGACGAGGACGGGATGCATTAGCAGTGTCCAATTACAGGGCAGTACTTTGCCTGCGGGTCAGGCGCATTGCCTCGACTTACATCTAAAGAGAAGTGACGATACACTGTTATCTCGAGTGCGAAGATAATAAACTAATTTGCAAGTCTACGTATAGATTAGTGCAGTCCGTCTCCTCTTTGATATATGCAAGAGCATGCTATTCGTGCCTTTAACATACCCTGAAATATTCGTGTATGTCCATTCGTTCAGTATTTTTAATAGAATATTAATGAACAATTACTATTAATTGTGATAGAACATTAATTTTAATCGTTGTATCATGTATCATTTACAACTGCGAATTTTCCGCACTTTCCGAGAAATGTGATTAAAATTTGTAGAGCGTTAATTAGGATTTATTATTAAAAAGTAAACATGCATGAACAAATTATATTATCGATGAGAATATTATTATTGTAATATGATAGAATATTATTACATTGAAAATGAGTTATAATCAAACGTTGCAGTAATATCGAAGAAATAAAAAAAGAAAAATGTGTACCGTGGTAATCGAACGTGAAACTGTGTGATGAAATTGTACCAACGAATGGAAAGATTAATAATTTGATATTGAATTGTTTCGCGTCCGTGGCACAATGCGGACTTTGGTTACTCGAAATAGTTTATTAAAATAGGCGGCGAATGGAAAATCCATTGTTCGTGCACGATTTGTCGAAGAACATACATGCAATATAATAGATGATCTTATTACAAATTAACGCCATAAGAGTACTTTAGCTTCACTCTTTGACGAATAAAAATTTTTAATATTGTTTTCTAGACGATCCTTATCGTTGCATGAGTTTAATGCATTTTGTGTATTCGATTTATGAAAAGAAATTAATTTCAAGATATTATTATGCGATATGTATATAAATGACTTAGTAAAAACATAAAAATATACTTTTTATATTAAATATAAACATACTAATTTAAAATCATATATTTTAATACTATATCAGTTTTATGAAGGAAATATTATATGAATAAATTTAATATTATAATATTATAATAATAATATTACAATAAAGTCTCTCATTTTTTTATTTATTATATTTATGAATTAGAAATGCAAAAGCTATTTTTTAATTATTTTTTTCTAATTTAAATTTTCTCATTATTTTTATTCTATATAACAGTTTATATTTACTTGTTTTATTTGACTGTTTCGAATGAAAATATCATAAAAAAAATCCTGTAGCCTCAAAAAATACAATAGAGAGATAAAAATACAAAACATTTCAATAGTTGCCGTTACAGTTATCATGTCCATCAGTCTGCGCGAAACTAGCCCAATTTCTTCGCGATATCATATGAAAATCAATATTTGAGATGGCACTTTGAAGCAACGCCCTTTGTTAGATTGTCTCCGTACAATTAAACTTTGCATTTCTGCCGCTCACAGTGCGGAAATTCATGTTCAACATACTATCGATGACTGTCAGAATTGCTGTTTGATACCAATTTCGAACAAATTTTCCTTGGACATTTGTCAGTTTATCATACTCTATTTTTTAACCATGCTGTGCGCGAATTCGAGAGAAAAGTTTCAAACATAGTACAATGCAATTTTAAAATTTACTGCGGCT